GTTCCCTTGGTCAAAAGAATGCCAAAATGCACTTGACAGTTTGAAAAATCTTTGATGGAGACAGCGAAGCTGAAGCACTTCCTGCCAGGCAAAAGGATTGACGCAACAGATTATGGCTTGTGTGCAGTAGTGTTAGATTTGAGATGACTGGCAACTAATTAAGCATTTGTGATACTTGTTAACATAAAACCAACTAGATGAATGTGGCTTCCCCGGCACTAAACTGCTTTAAAAGTTTTTTCATGTATTGAAAATGTCTAAATAGCTTTGTTTAAATAAGTTCTTGCAGTCTCTGGCATTCGACATACCAATGACTCGTAGTAGTACCCGTTCTAAAATTCCCAACACCCAATGACCATGCATGTTACCTCCATAGTGGATATGAGTTGGTGACACTCATATCAAAGTAGTAATCGCCGTAAGAAATACTTACTTATGCATGACGCAAATTGTTAGAATTTAGTACAGTTACTTTTTGTACGCTTTTTTTGCTAATATGCACAAAAATGCACATAAAATATCATCTATATGATGTTCTTCAATATTATTACTTAAAAATCTTCTATAATTACATATCTTTCTTCAACCGTCTTTGCACAATTAGAAAACGTAAATGTGCAAAGTCGAATGCGCATGTGTTTCCGTTCTCTCAGATTACTCGCAGTTCTTGTTTTCACACAATTCACTTAGCGTTCTTCAAATTTAATAACTTCTAAGGTAATACTGTACGTAGGTGTTTGCAAATGTGTTATTAAAAATGCAGTAATAACAGACGAAATACTTCACTTACGTTCAAAGCAGTGGTCAATGAACGAATGAATAGAATTGAATGAATGAATGAATGAATGAATTAGTGAATTGAATGAATAATCGAACGAATAAACAAATGGCATGCTATCAACACACAATTCATCTAACCCAAACAAGTTAAAGGGCAGTGTCGTGTAAGCATCTAGAATGATCGTTGTAACTTTACTTATCTTAAAATTTACAATATTTAACAACCATTTTAAAATTCTTTTACAATTAATATTTTAATAATAATAACATAATAATAATAATAATAATAATAATAATAATAAAACCATTGCCCTAGAGAGCAAAATGTTGAATAAAACCATTCCAAATGTGTCTCCAAAAAGTACCACGCACGTGGCCCAAGAACAACAAAAGCTCTCATATCACACTGTTACCTCGTATCACATTACAATACTTTCTTTACTCGACGTAGAATAAACAAACATCGACGTAGAGTAGAAAGACACTCAAAACTCTGCCATCATTTTAACAGTTCATAAAATACGTGTTTTATTTTTTAGTATTCATACGAATTTTCGGGAAGAACATTTTCCTTTCTTCAGAAGTGAAGTTAAATTACATATTGATATTAAATGTATTGTTAAAATATTTATAATTTATACAATCAATGAAGAGTTTTGTGAAAAAGCACCATTATTTATAATAAATATTGTGTACTAACGTGTCTACGAGTCTTCTTTTTATATTGATAAAAACATAAAATTGTAATAGCAATATTCAAGTTCAGCCTGGTAAATTTCACTGGAGAAATACATGTTCATGTGGTACAATATATTAAAACTAGGTTACATGTCTATAAAATATTATAAACGACGTACACTAAAAATCCAAATATATATATTTAAGTCACTAGATTTAACTCACATATTTTAGTTTATAAAGGTCAAGACTGTATTTCTATGTATAATACAGGCTTCGCTATTGTTCTGAATAAGAAGAAATGCCAATAAATCTACTGTAAAAATATAAATAAACAGAATACAAAAAAATTACCATTATTGCCTGCTGATTAGAAAAGAAACTTCCTTGCAAGTTTCAGGACAAAGATGGGCCACGATGCTAGTACGTTAATAAAGCTTATGATTTATATATGGCATTTATTTCTTACACGCAAGCGTGAAACTGGTTGAGATTTTATCGCTACATGTCTACAGCGTATTGCTTTGAGTACTAGCCTCACCACGGAACGATATAAAAATGTGGATGGCATAGTGAGAATACGTTATCTAGTAGGAACTTCTGAAAAAGTTAACATGGTTCATGAGATCAGTAAAATATTTTTTATGATTAAATTAACAAGATGTATACTTCAATTGAATGAACCAAAAATGCAAGTTGATTTTAAAAAAATGGCCAAATGTAGTAGCATGGCGTGATCATTCTTTCTGGCAAGGTTTCAGATCAGATATATGCAAATTAGATATGTTAAAAACTAATTTGGCTTAAACACGGTTCATTACGTTGTTATAGTACCTGGCAGATCCGTGCAGCCCAATTCTTCCGAATTTCTGCAGCTACCTCATTCCAACATAATATAATACACGAACAGAGTATACTAAAATGTTCATACCAAAGAAAATAGATCTTCTGAGATTTTTCTCTACTTGCTAACCTACGTGCTAACGCAATCGATGAGACATCGGGGTAACCAGAACCGAATGCCAGCGAGTTGGCGATCATTGGTAATTCGGACTAATTCCATTGTCAGTAATCATACTGGACTACATTTATTTCTCTGTTATCGAGAAGAATCTGAATAGTAATAGAATCACATGTGAGCACAACAGGTTTATCAGGCACAGCTATAATACTGCACTGAATGTATCAGATAATCTATAATCTGTTAAGATCACTAATGCGCTCGAAGAGTGTAGTATCAAAGTTATTTATTTGGTCTATTTATTGCTTTGCGCTGTTTCATTCAGGGCCTAGAGACTATTATATCCATCGAATTTTAGCTTTACTGAAAATCTGGTTAATATCAAAGGCAAAGTTTTCCAGGAATGTTGATCTTTTGATTGCGTTCAGAGCACCGCGGACAGTGTAAGGATTCGTTACAGACTCGTCAGTCGATTTGAATGAAGAATTTGAATGAAGGAGTTTATGCCCCCACTGTACGTTATGGCGTGCACAAAATCCCTAGTGTTTGAAACTTGCCTATATTTCACACAAAATTACACAAAAACTGCTCTATTTTCGAAATATTGAACATGACTATTTCCACATCTATCTTTGAATAATTGATTTTATTAGCAAAAATCTCTATCTTCAATATTATGGTCGTATGAAGACGCCGAAAAAAAATTGAACGTTTGCAATGTTCAAAAAATTAGGAGATTTAGCGGAAATTAAACATGCCCAATTCTTTAAGCGTTCTTTATGCTGTCAGAAGACAACGTTGAATAAAAAAAATTGGAGCCATTTTTGAGAAAATTTTAAAAATGTTGACGCTCCATTTAAGGTTCCACAAAAAGACATATCTGTTACAAACTCGTAGTTCTCTTTCGTTCATTCAGATCGATCGGGCAATATAAATTTTGAAGAAAATCGTCTGAACGGTTTAGGTGCTAATGTTGATCACACACAGACGTTTTGCCAACAATTAATCCCACACGTATCAAGGACCCACAGAACATGGATTCTGATCCCCAATGTGTTATATATATATATATATATATATATANTATATATATATATATATATATATATAATGTCCGGGGAGGAAACGTCGAAAACAAGCTCGTAAGACAATTTTAAGCCCTTTTTGTCTAATAAACTACTTTGTTATGCCAAATGTCTAAGCCGCAAAATATACTCAAAATTTTGTTTGAAATAAAACTTTCTAGGCAAAAATTTCCATTGCAAAAGGATATAAACACTCCAGAAACTTATAAATTGTTTTTTATTTAGAAAAGAAATGAATATATTCGTTCAGAAAGAAAAATTAACACAGAAATAAAAAAGCATCCAATTTACATAATTCGACTGCATTTTTATTTCTGGGTTAATTTTTTTCCTCAAGAAGATCTTCTATTTCATTTTTACCAACTGCCATATATTCAGATTCAGAAGTGTAAGAAATAAAATGCCATCGGAAGATAGTAATGAAGGTCCGCAAATATATGAGCTCCTGCAATATTGCCCAGTTGTCGAGGGAATGCAGTAGGAATCTGACTCAGCCATTGTAATAAGTCAGGTAACCAAAAGTCAGCAGTCAGAATATTGTTCTAAAGTAAGGTGCCTGTGTAATGGCGAGTTTTAATCACATACTGTTATCAAAACTGAAACCTGAAACTTTAGGGATTAAAAGCATTTCATATCAATAGGCTAAATCTTACTCTCAAGTCGTTGTCACCATCAAGCATGTCAGAGATGAAAAGATTTCAACTCATTTTTTAACCTAATTATGGAGTTCCACAAGGATCAATCCTGGGAACTGATTTCTTTTATACTTCAACGGCATGTCCCTAATTTTACAAAACAACAAAATAATCCTATTTGTAGATGACACGAACATTATTATCAAAGCAAGTATATAATATCTACAAAAAAAGAATCACAAACTGTTCTAGAGGCACTAGTAAAATGGTTCGAAGGAAACAAACTCATCATAAACTGCCTTCCTAAACTTAAAGAATTCACTCTAAAGCCATCTCGACAATTGATCAACAAAAACATGCCTGTAAAAATAGCTCTAAAAACTTTCCTTGGATTGAATATTTAAGATGTTGTAAAAGGGAATTCTTATTACAGCTTTCTCACAATTTATACATTACATGTCATTGCACTTTTCATGTGGAATGTTTGTATTAAAATATTTAATTTATTGCATTGCTGTAATGGGGTATTTTATTTCTTGTTCTTGAGCAGTTTACGTGCTACTTGGAAAACCATTTTGTGAGGTTTTGTTCAGCAGCACTTTTGCTTCTGCTGCCCACTAGTACTCTCACTGTATTCAATGCATTTTTTTGATCAATGTGAGAATTGTATCCAACAACTTAGGTCTATATTTCTACAAGGAGTAGAGGATACTAAAATTATAAAGAACGATACAATAGACTTAGTTAAAAAGTAAAAAGATACGAGGTTTTTGCGTATGTATGCCACGTGAAACAATGCCACCAGGATTATGAAGTTTAGAAGAAGCGCGCTCGTGGTGCTTCTCGGGAACAGCCTGTCTTGTCCTCGCATGCTGTCCGACACTCCTTTCACAATGTTCATGCTTCACCGTTCTGTCATTGTCGGTCAGTCATGCGGGATGTGGCTGATGCCTGGGGAAGGGTCTGTTAACTTCTAATTTTGTTTTCAAAATATGGGGGAAATGTGTAATATTAATATATGGGAAACCCTTGAAAAGGATTAACTTACTAGATATTGAACTAATCATTGGCATGACAATGTATGTACAGTGAGCGAGTTGTATTTCGCTGGTGGTTGACGTTTTTATGTACTCCAAGAAACCACGATGGAATTCCCTTTCAACGTAAACGCTATTTTCCAAACAAGGATTAGTATAATTAAACGGGACCTACTGCCCCAAGGATTCTCGGGCGATGCCCGTGCTGCATGGTATGTGTGATACAACGTGTTATGGGATATGTCAATCTCCTATGTAAATGTCATAAATTTGTCTCTTTGGTTCATGTGTGATGACAGTAGAACTATTTTAAGTAAAAAAATTAAGCTTTGTATTATTATTTATTCATATTTATGTTCGGCAGTGGATCTGGATTTTCTCTTTGGCTTTTCATAATCTGAATCTGGATGGTGTATTATCCAGCTTTAAAATTAGTAATTTTATTATTCCATTTAACTTCTCTTTCTGAAAATAATTTATACCATTATGATATTGACATTCGTTGTCAAAGAATATATTTATTTTGTGCTTTGAATAATATGTAATTAATGTTAGTGTATTGGTCAAACCTCTTATGTAATATATGGTTAGCCTGGAGACAAGTATGTGGAAGATGGTCGAGGCTGCTGCGGTATTTAATATTTGACCGAAGTGCATCTGAAATCCATGCACAATTTTCTCTTCTCTCGTGTATTACTACTTTAAATTAGTGGTTTGATTTTTGACTGGATAACTAGTTAAGAAAGTGTACTGTTGTGTGTGACCAATGATATGTATACTTTATTTTCATCAGGCCCTACACATGTCAGCAATTGCTTTTTGTTGACTCTTTCGAGTCATAATGGTTTAGATTTGGATCAAATGCACTTCTGTAAAGCATGGCTTCTATTACTTTCATTCTCCGAGTGTTACAAGACCTATGATATTTTCTTCTTTAGGAAGGTCAACAAGTATTATCTGGCTGTTGTTCAGTTAATACATTCTTTTTTTTTTCTACTTAACCTTGCTGTACTGTTAAAGTTTTGAACTTGCTCACGTTATTTACTGTGGCATATTCTACCTGCCTAATTTATTTATTAATTTTTTAATCCTTGAGACTTGACTACTTCTTGATATTTCTCCACTGCACCCTGCCTTTACTTTTGACATTTTGTCAGTTCTGAGCTCACTTGTACCATTGCTATATTTAATTCATGTGTACCATTGTTTTATTTAATACAACCAAGTTTAATGATATGCGAGATGTTTAGGGAGATACGTGTAAACATGGAAAGTTATGAGATTTTGTGTTTATGCACTTGCATAGAATATGTTTTATTAATTATTATATCAAATATAAATTCATTGTATCGATGTGCGTGTATTGATTCACCCTTATTATGAAACACAGATTTGATTTCTAGTGTTCATTTCATTAATTGAGTACTATCCTGTACAAGTCTCGTTAATTACTTCCTTCATTTGGGTAATAAACAATCACTGTACTTCACATAAAACAAGTTCTTTGAAGGCCACAAGCTGAAAAGAGAGAGGGACAATATCATCCAATCAGAAGCTCCAGTACCAAAAATTTATGACGCAACAAAGCTCGCGATTTAATGACAGTGTCCCCCTCACCAGACAGCTCATGACCTTGAAAGTACTTTGTGTTAATCATAGTATAGGGATTGAGTAATCAGTTCCTTAATATGATCTGAACCTTTGTGAAGATTAAAAAATTATGAGCTGTGAACAGGCATCAATAATAAAAGAATGAATTGAGCTTGTAAATACTCTACATCTAACAGCAACACTCGAAGTAATTGAAAATGCATAAAAAGTAATTGCTTTAATGTAAAAATTATAGATGTAGATGTGAAATTTCAAATGTGAATTGGGTATTCAAAAGTTTGATTTAGTCATAGGCATCACCAGCGAAACTTTTATTGAGGGGTGGTGATTCAATAGATCAGATACAAATTGCGGAAGAGCTCCCTCCAATACTAAAAAATATTGGGGGGGAAGGAGGGGATGCATGTCATCCATGTACCTTGTAAGGAAATATCTGTTCAGCATGAAATTTTTTTATGTATGTATAGTTTTGTAAACCTAGCAGAACATTGAATTTGAATTGTAGAAGGGGATTCAAGAAAGTGGCTTCTAATTCTAAAATTTGTATCACAAAGTTTGTCATGTTTATGGCAATTTAACTCATTCTTCACTCAGTGTGTGTTAGACACAGATTTTTTTTAATGCAATTACTAGGCATATCACTGATATGTCATAAATTGTTCGTTTTAAACTATGAACAATGAAATCAAAAGCCTGTTTAAATTGTAATGTTTTCTGTAAAAACATTTTGATTATTATTTTTCTTTTTTTTTTTTTTTTTTTTTTTTTTTTTTTTTTTTCTTTGCAGGAAATGTGCATCACAGGTATCAGATATTATAGATGTCATGGGATTGGCTTCAGCTCGAGCACAGGGACTTCAAAAAGCTATTACCACGGGTGACAGATTAAGATCTTATGATCACACATTATATCTTCTTGTAAATTCTGAAGGAAATGGGTATGTTTTGAAATATTAATGTTTGATTTTATACTGTAGTGATGTAATTTGTTGAAGTTAACATTAATTTATTTTTAAATTCCTTTTAATACATTTTTAGTTTTTGCAGTTTGTCATGACATTTGATGAGAGTGTACAATGATTGTTCATTTAAATAAATGATTCCCATTAAACCATGAGATGTAGTGTAAAAGTAGATTTCTAATCTTCATTTCACGTAATTTTACAGTAATTTTTCTTTTATATGTATTCATAATGGTAAATATACACAATAATGGTTGGTAGAGTAATATTTAATGTCTTTATTCATTTAAATAACTATTTATAGTTTTGAATGAATTGTTCATGTTTTCCAATAGAGTTTTACTAATAAGTTTCCACATCACAACAATGTAAAATTTAATTTCAATGTATTGATTTGTTTAATGTATGTGATTATCGGAAAAGTGTAATGAAATTGCAAATTTGTATGTCTTGAAGGGCACTCAGTAAGTTGTCAATGATTTAAAATTAACATCAGTTTTATGCAAGTCAGAAAAGCTTTGAATAAAGGACCTATTTTGACTTCCACTACTTACCTTCACTGTACACAATTTTTTAAATGGTCTTTACTGAACTGCTTCAAGACATGGCAATCTGTTGCTATTTCTACAAATGTTTCTTAACATAATGCTAAGTGAAAAAATGTTGATGTACTTCTACTTCTTGGGTGCACCTAATGTTAGCTTATTGTAGTTGTGTGGGACCTAGATAAAGCAACTACTCGTACACGAATGTGTTGTCACTGAAGAAAGTTGGGATCTTCTGCTTCCCAACATCATTTATGTACACAAAATGCAACTGAATAATATATTTAATCTTTGCAATATTTTTCAATTGGAAGTTTATACCTGCTTGAAATTGGAAAATGCAAGTTCTAATATTACTAGTAAGTCTGTACAATTCCATTCAAGGCCTGTTGAGCCTTTTAACAGCCAGGGATAGTATGAGTATATTGGATAATTCTGCCTTAAATAAGATATAATAGACCTATCATGTAGAGCATTCAATACAACTTTGTATTTGAAATAATTAATTTTAGTTGAAACAATTGGAACTTTTTACCTTCTTGTAGTAAAGGTTACATTTCGTGTGCTTCTACTAAACTTTTTTTATGGCTGCAAAATGATGAAACAGCAGAAAATTAATAGCAGATCCATGTTTGCTTTCTGTATGAAAATTTCTTGTGCAGATCATGCTTTCATGGAAATTAAGCAAAATCCATTAAAGATCACAAGAGTATTAACTTGAGTCTTGTGATTATTACACAGAATATATACACACAAAGTAAAGTCCTTACCCTGGAAATATTTTTTTGTAGTCTCATTTAGACAGTTTGGACAGATATGAAATTTGAAAATAAGAATATGGAATCTTGTGTGAATAAAATGTTTGAATGTAACAGTATACATCACTAATGGTTGCTGCAATACAACCTAAATTGGTTTGCCTTTCCGTCTTCAATTTTGTTGAATTATCATAAGGCATTTTAATGCTATTTCATTCTTTGATTTCAATACATGTCTGTGGTTTTGGGAAAAGAAGAAGACCACGAGATTTTTAAAGTAAACTGATAATAGGAAACATTGATATAACCTAGCAAATTGGCAGGACCTTACATATTTTTAAGAAAAAATGTAGAGGTTTGTTCGTAATAATAGCTCAAAATTTGTTACACATTGAGAATAAAAAATCATATAAATTTCCAAACGTGTAATAAAAATGAGTAGAACAAAATTTGTGGTTTTGTGCAGAACATGTGGTCCATATATGCATCATATGACCTAAAGAAAATAAGGTTTGTAATTTATTTATGCAAAGAAGTTGAATAATGATTGAAGGAATATGAGTTGTCAATTTAACTGTTTTGCCATCATAATTGTTGACTGATTGGGATGCCATATTTGAAAGAATTGAACAAAAGTGAAAAAATGTAAATTCACAATTTCTTCCTGTATTAATGCAACCTAATGAGATAAGTAGGTAACAGAGGAGAGAGGGAATTGTAGTATAAATGTGATGTGAGATAAAATATAGTTTCATGATAACTACATTGTGGCAAATAAATAGCTTGAATGTCTGTAAAATGTTAGTAAAGTGTTAGTAAATAACAACATCTCAAAGGCAATGAGACAAGTAAATCAGTATAATAATTTATATACTAAATTCAAAATGTTAGTATCTACCTTAAGCAATTGAAAAAATAGTTACGTGTAACAATATAATCTGATGTATTCTGGTCACAGTCAATTCAGTGCATGTTTATTGTGAATATCACATAACTTTCTAAAATTGTAAATTATGTTAATGAACATCAATTATTAAATGTGTCATGAATTTTAATTATGAAGACAATTGTGTAGTACTATCCAACACAATGCTCTGTAATCTCCAGATTGAAGTTTTATTTTATGGAAAATATATTTGGTGATGTAATAGGTAATGCCAGATACATCAATAGCTATTATAAGTGTTTTTTATGAGAGGAAGTAAGCAATCTGTGCCATTGCTATTTACAAAGTCTATAAAATTTTATTTTCCATGTGGTTCTAGGAAATAATAATCAAGTGAACATCATTTTAATGTTTCAGTGGAAAAGGGGTTGTTGTAGGACTTCTGAAAATGGGAAGAAAGAAATTGTTTGTCTTTGATGTAAATGGCCAGCATCATGAAATGGAACCACTTTGTGTTCTAGATTTTTACATACATGAATCAATGCAAAGGATGGGATGTGGAAAACTCTTATATGAGTTCATGTTACAGGTATGTATATAATTTCAGTGCAATACAAGACAATTTCCAGATTTCTGTATGTAAGTTTGTATCCAAAAAATTAGTTTCTGGCGGTCTTCATTCATCGCATTTTATCACTGAAAATTGTTATTGTATTTTATGTAGTTAGTTTTGTAAATTTCATTATTTAAACTTTCAGAATTATAATTCTGTTCTAACATAATACAAATTAATTTTGAGTGTAAAAAAATTCATTTTCAATTGTAGATAGTGTTGAAATATAATAATAATAATAATAATAATAATAATAATAATAATAATAATAATAATAATAATAATAATGCTTTTTTTAAACTTCTAATTATTTTCATTCAAACTGTGAAACAATAATGCCATTTAAAATTATTTAACAAAATTTTATTGAAATGCATAAAAATGTCTTTGTATTGCTCCATTGAAAAGTCTTCGTTTGGCAAATGATTCTCTGAAATATTTATCGTGTTGTCTAGTATAGTATAGTTATGACTTTTCAGGAACATTCAATTAGTGATGTAATTTTCTTAAATGACGTTTATCTAAAAATTGTTGTTTTTTTTTAATGCAAAATAAGTCAGATCCAAATTTGTGTTGAAAGACATTAATCTTATGGATCTGTGCTTTAATATAAAATTACATTTTCTTCATAAGGAATCTGAATGTTCTCCATAGGGTACCTGTTTGCAAACTTCCATGAAGAAACCTAGCACTTCAATACAGATAAATAAAGGGAATTAAATATTTAGCCCATGCCCAAAAAACAAACTGAAGAAAATTTTAATGTATTTTGTCATGTCTTCTACATGTTGTTTCATGTTTTGAATTGTTCAATTACGAAATATTTATTTTACACTATGTAAATGGTGTCAGAATATAATTATGCTGCAATTATATTAATATAATTGTATGCATAATGCATTATAATATAATAGAACTGACATTTTGATATCATTTATATGATGGATTTAATCATTGGTTAAATTATTCTGTAAGTGAAATAAAATTCATCTTATTAAATTGACGAATTCTTTCCAGGAAGAACACATCGGACCAGAGCAATTGGCGATTGATCGACCTTCTGAAAAATTTTTGGCTTTCTTGCATAAACATTATCATTTATCAAAAATTATACCTCAAGCTAATAATTATGTAATTTTTGAAGAGTTTTTCTCTAACCATGCAGGTTAGTGTTTCTTCTGTGTGTGCGACTGACTTTTATGGTATTGTACTCGGATGTTTGTTCTAGAATTTACCTGCATTGTAAATTATATTCTTATTCTTGGTTGGTGGTATCAGTATTTCTACAGTTTATGAATGTGCTTGAGCATGCTCTTTGATACCCTCTGGTAAAGTTTAGTGTATTAGTGCCTGAAGACTCAATTTTACATAAGAGTGGAATTGAATGGGCAAATTGTGAAGGAATTATGGTTTATATACACACAGTAATGTAAATTTTGTATATGTTCAGTATTTTGTGTAGTTGCATTTAGTGTTTTTGTTCTGTAGATAAATCGTGTAATGTGTAATGTTTGATCACTTTTGTTGTATGTAGTTCTATTATACATTAATTTTTATTACAATTTTCTTTGTTAGGAATTAATTTTGTGTTTTTTTAGCTGCATGTACTTGTTCTACATTTGTTTTGTGTGATGGGACAAACTTACCTATACATTTTATGTTAATTTTCCTAAAATGCAAAGATCCAGATGGTCTGCCACAGTTACTTTTCATTAATATACTCTGATTAATGAAAGATCTATTTGTGAAGATGTCTGTAAAGCCTGCAATACATAAATATGAATTTGCAATTCCAATTCTTGTATAGTACTTCTTGAGAATTTCTGTATTTATCCTAATATTAGACATTTTTTTTCCTAAATTTCTCATTTGAAAAATACAGGGTCATCTTATTTTTCCAGCCAAACTTGAGGTCTAGATCAATGTTCTTACCACTTTCCATATCAAGAAAGTAACGTTGTCATCAAAATCCGCTATGAAGGCAATGAAAATCTTGTCTATCTATAATCTTTGCTTTTTGCTGATGTATTCTTGGCATCTGCCATGCATTGATATGCAATTTAGACCATTATTTGTGAGAGGGGCCCCATTGAGAGCGAATCTCAAACAAATGGCATTTTAGTACATGAAATGAAATGTCAAAATGAAGTGTACATATCTTGTTTCAACTCTCAATGATTGTGAAGGTGCATTTTGTAAATAACATGAAGAATATAATGAAATGGAAAAATAATCTTCATTTGGATTCTCCATCCAACAAAAGTGAACAATTTTTAAAAAATGTCAGAAAAATTTCCTATATTTTAGAAGCTTTTCGTGCTCTCCCATGCTATCCACACAATGGAAGCACAGAGATGTACTGTTTGCTTTTCACAACTCAGTCATTTGAGTATTAAAGAATGCAAATTTCAAGTTAATGGTTGTTGAGGAATCAGAGGCTCTAAACAAGAGTGTGGTAGGAAAAAAATCTTATGACCCATAATGGAATGTTCTTAGATGGCATCAGATGAAAGACAGAGGATGCAAATTGAATGCTCAAAACATTCAGGGGAGCCTAAAACATCAGAGGACAACCTAGTATGGGGGAGGACCAGCAAGAAAACATTGAAATATATGAAGATTAAGATGATAGTGACAAAATGATTATTATTTTTAAAAGGTATAAGAAAATGTCAATCGTTCTGGGAAAAATAATTAAAAGTAATAATTAAACACAAAGGGTTATCCTTTTCCTTTTACGCAATCAAAGTACAAGATTTTCAACAAATGTTTTATTTTTCACTTATTCTGGAACACAAAAAATAATTAAACTTATAATTGAGACAATTTTCTGGACAATTTGTAATTTTATTTTAACTTAATAGTAAGAAGCAGATAAAAAAAAGGTGGGGAGAATTCTTTGGAGGCCTCTGGAAAATTGGGGGTTAATCTCATTTGGTGTGTCTTATATTTGGGTAAATACAGAACATACCCCTAACATCAATTTTGGTCAGTGAAAAAAGGTCTGAATAAGAATATTGAGGTATTCTCAATCTGTATATTTAAAACAATCTGTGAATTATAATTACATATAAATTATGTATTTCTATAGAAATGCAATATAGTAATATTGTGAAATTTTACCAAAAATAAAAAAATTCCTTGTAGATTTATGTGACTGACATGTAGCATTTAGTGTTTGTGAATATATTAAGTTCCCACTTCTTTCTTGCCTTGTGCCTGTCTCAGTATATGTTTAAAGAGTGACCATTCAAATGTAAGGGTTGTGCAAAGCTGAAGTGCTAAGGACAAAGTGAAATGTAAATTTAGGGTTGCTGAGCCATTATATATGAATATCAAACAGTCTACTTTTTATGATGTAGCAGATTTCTGCATGTAAATACTGTAATTTCAGATTCTGAAACAGCACAATTATAATATATCATCAAATATAGCAATTTACAAAATCATATGATTGATAGAAAGTGTATTTATGAATTGAGATTGTTTGTACAATTTTGGTTCCTTGTAGTTCTTATTTTCATGATTTCGACATTTCAAAGTGTGGAAACTATGAAGGAAGCACCTATATTTGGTAATTACAGTTTCCTCGGCAGGGGCACCATAATACTCCAGCAGGGACATCCAACTCTTTGAGTGATGTCAATTTGATCCTATGACAGTTATTCGGAATAAAATGTTTGCAATAATGGCCTTAATTTTATTTCTTAAGTATCTATACTATTTCTCAATGCAGTAATGGCCTAACCCACAAAAATCTCTTTAATCTGTCATGCTTGAAACTTGTAAACACCCAATTCTGGATATCCAGAAGCCACCCTGCATATCTGTGTGTTTGCTAAAACTCTCGAATTCTTTAACAAAAGGAATCACGTAAATGAAGTCTTATGATTTATTCAGATTGTTGTGTGTAAGATATTAAATTGTCCCCTCCCCCCTAAAAAAGTTTCTAATGTGCACTCTGGATAATATTCTTCAAAATATGTATTTATAGACAGGATTTCTTTAGTCTCTTTTACAAATGAAATGTTCTAATAATAGTGTAGGCCTATGCTGAGTCTACAGTATGATAGCACAACATTGGTATATTAACAATGTATTCGTGAGTTGAAATATTCTGTAAGTAAATTCAAGTTTTATTAAATAAACAAATATTGTGTTATTCAGCATTAACATAACAAGTACGATAATCTTATCTCCAAAAAGACTGTTATGAATGCCACTGACTGACTGCAGTGGTGCCTTACGCTGAGGCCCATGATACTACATAGAGTAGGTGATTTTTGTTCAAATTATAACGAAATACATTTAATGTAAAAACTTTTCTTTTTTGATATTACACAGTAATTATTGACTGTTATTATTACCCTGAAACTTTTAGAGGAAATGAATGTAATTGCAGAATAATAGATAATTGAAACATTAAACTCTGATTACAAAAATTTAGACCACTTTTATACAGTTACCTTTATAAAAGAAACTCCATCAAATTAAAACGTCAAAATTAACAGATTTTTGAATCTTTCAGTAGATGAATGATGACAAAATATCAACTTTTGAACAAGATTACAGTGGTTTAGTCAGTAGAAAATGTTAAACATTTTACATAAATATTTTTAGTTAACAATTAAGCTGAAAAAATCTACAAAGAATGTGAAATAATAAATTCTTTGTAAATAAAAGGGAATGAGATTGTTGCCTTACCATACGTCCATTCTTGCAATAATTAAAATTATGCACATTTATTCATAATTATTTCTACTGTTGGGATTCATAAGAGATAGAAAATTCCTTTTGAATGGTTCTCTTAATATGAAATATAAGTAAGAAAACCCTTTGAAAAAAATGGCTGTAAACATGCTTGTTACTATTGATTGGCTGCCCCTACTGAATTGGATATGCAACAGAATGAGGTATGATTGAAGAACAGCTCCCTACTTTGGAAGTGTCATATATGTCATTCCATAACAAGCAATTTTCTGAAAATTTATTCTGGAATGTCCAATTTTGTTCAATTTTTTTTGTGATGTTCTTGAAACAAAATGAATTATCATGTTGTGGTTTTTTGTTTTGTTTAGACCTGCTGTCATTATTCTTAGATATATTGACTACTAATTTTTACACAAAATGGCAAGCGGAGGCAATATGAAATTATTATATATACACTTAAAAATAGAAATAAGTTGTTGGTCTTAATTAAAAGCTGATCAATGGTACTTTAACATAAAGAAAATTGTTTTACAGTGTCAAAATAATAATTTGATTTTAATTAGTCTTATTTTAATGAAAAATGAAAATGCTATTTATTACAACTAACATGATGCTCAAATATTTTTAAAGAATATTTTCAAATTCTGTGAACTTTCCTTTGTTTTTATTGTGGAACTCTTTGTAGTTCAATAGCAAACAATTGATGAATGCACCGGGATACATCCTCAACATGATGGCTTCTCACTCCAGCTCTCACTGCCATTGTCTCTGATTGTGAGGGGGAGTACATTCAAAGTTCTGTTACTATGTTACCAAAATATCTGTTTTAAATCCTTCAGATTGTAACTGGGCTTTTTTTATAATGACTTTCCAGCTTTCTGTCATGTATTTTGTGTTGACTTGTATTCAATTGAAAAGTAATTTTATATAGGTTTTTCTGGGTGCAATTGCATAACCTTCTGGGTGTGTTAATTGGATCTTGTCCAGGCTGAAATCTTGCTCGGGCCACAACTATTTGTAGTTTCTTTAATGCTATCACAGGGTTCTTTAGCATGTGATTTTGCAAAAAAAATGCCATTTTGCATAAATTCCAAAACTGGTGTTGGAACTCAGGTTGAAAATGTTCTTGTTTTTATATTGAGTGCTGATTCTATGGAGAATTTTTTTTCTTTTATTTGTTTAAATTCTTTTTTAGATCTGACTGGAAGAAGTTGAAATTCTTGGTGTTGTGCTTGAGGTTTTCCAAAATCATTATCACATTTTTGTGGTGCACCACTTTTATCTTCTTTAAAATAAACATGAAATGGGTAAATTTTGGCTTGTTTATTTTTATAATGCACCCATTGCACAAAATTATGAAGTAATATAAATAAATATTTTCATAGTAGTTGCAGGTGACAATCAGCTCTTCAGTTTCCATTTTTAATTTGCATTCATTTAAAAGTAAGCTTTTTT